GGGTTGTTGTGAACGTGCCGGAAATAGTCTGTGAGTGCAGTAGTGTTTGTTCCACTACAGGAGGAAGGAAGGGCTTACTTCCAACTCCTGATGAGTTCCCTCGCTTTGAAGGAGGACGGAAACCAGACTCCTGGGATGGAAATAGAGAGCCAGGTAAGGAAGGGGTGATTCCAGACCAGTAGTCCACAAAGTGTGGTCCGGGCACCTCCGGGGGACCTGACCCCCTTTCAGGGATCCACACGGTTCTTTCTTTTCCAACTTGAATCTCCTTGGGAGGCTGGATTTTCATACGCATCAACCAAAGCATTTTATTACCAGTAGATTGAATACAGAAGCAAACGGCGAGTCCAGCTTTCTTCTCTTAAGACAGACGTTAAAGAGATTTGTCTGAATATAAAACAATGCCATGGTTTTCACTAAATGTTTTTAATTTTGGAAAATATAGTTAAATGAATTAAAATTTTCTCCATTTTAATTGCTAATATGATAAATATTAGTAGATATGACCCTCATAAATGACATCTTGTTGAGGTCCTCAGTCATTTTTAAGGGTACAGAGATATCCTGAGAGTAAAATGAGATCTCATTCTCTAGACTCTCTCCTTACTACCTCCTCCTATTTTGGGAGGTATGTTAATTTCTACAGAAGAAAAGCCTCCTGAAAAAAAATTAGCCATTGAAAACCCTATGGAGCACAGTTCTACTCTGACACACATGGGGTCACCATGAATCAGAATCGACTCGACAGCTACTGGCTTGATTTGGTTAATTTCTAATCTTGAACTTTTTATGCATTCATAATGTGACTTGTAAACCTCAGGGCCTGGCCTTTCTCAGCGGATATTTCCTGCATGAATGAATGTTGGTTCTCAAGTCCCACTTATTCTCAACAGTATGATTTCTGCCTGCTTAAATATGGAAACTGTACTTGACGCTGAACTTTAATATAATGAGGTTATTGGGTCCTTAGCCTCATGGCTCCATGGCTCTTGTTTCAGGCCCAGGTCATGAACATTTCCGTGATGCTCCCCGCCCTGATCATCCCCCTCACGATGGTCATTCCCCAGCCAGCAGAGAACGGTCCTCTTCTCTCCAAGGCATGGACATGGCATCACTGCCACCCCGAAAGCGCCCCTGGCATGACGGGCCGGGGACCTCTGAGCACAGAGAAATGGAAGCCACTGGAGGGCCTTCAGAAGATCGAGGTAGCAAAGGTAAGAGGCCAGTGGTTAAAGACCAGGAACTGTGTTTGCCAAGTACTGCCGCAGGAGGCCTTGTCTCCAGGCCAGCCCCACCCAGTGTATGCCTGTTGCATCTCTCCCCTGCTAGGATGGTTAGGGTCCTTTCTCCATTCTACCCTTCCAGTGTGTTGACTGTTTCCAATGTGGAGGACGTATTTCCAAATGTGGCACAGATGTAGTGTTGTTTATGCCCGTACCACAGCCAGCTGGAGCTCTCACTTGGACGACCGTAAGAGCTCAGCCCCAGCTGAGTCTCCTTCAGTTGCTTCCAGGAATCCCTAGATCATTCATGTTTTCCACTCTGCTCTTTGTCAGGGTGCCTCACGACTCTCCCTGCTGAGGTCACTTCCTGTGGGACTCCTGCTGCCCGCCACCAGAGGCTGCTCTGAAGCCCTGGAGGGCATCCTGGTGGAAGGGGAACAGTTGTCCTCTCCCAGATCCTCGGCCCAGAAGGAACACTGCGTGCCAGGTGTCACAAAGACTTAGGGGAGCATCATCTGGGAGGAGTGCCCCCTGGGATAGTCGATGATTTCTACAACTTGAAACTTGGGATCTTTATTTTATAGGTGACACTAACCTTTAGCCAGAACCAGCAGCCACCAAATGCTGACTACAGCTCAGTCTCAGGTCAGGCTGGGAAAGTTGTGTATGTGGGGTGGTGTAGAGGTTGTTGGAAAGACTGCCCTCTCGCCCCACTTTGTGCTCCACCCCCCCGTTACCCTCCTGCCCTTTACAGTTCTGCCATTAGAAGGGTCTGCTTTTTGGTCTTGACAGCTGTTTGGTTCTGAGTGAAACTCTCAGAAACTACCTAACATATCACCAGTACATCTCCCTGCCCAGACATGGCATTTTATGGCTGGTTGGTATGGTGTAATTGTGGACTTTCGTGGGCGCTCGTGGCACTCATGTAGGACTGTTGGCCAAGGACTTGTGGCTAGTGTGGAAATGATGGGCTGGCAGACAGCTTTCCTACCCAGACAACCTCAGGTGGGCCCATGTTGTGCTTCCTGAGAAACCTAAATGATTCCTTTGGTAGCTTTCTTAACCTCTTCAGCGCAAATGGATTCAAATTCCCTTAAAAAATTTACAGTAAAACAGAGTTGAGAGTTTACCATGGGAGATGTGACAAAATCCTGTCATTTCATGGGGAAAAAAATTTTTAAAATTTTAGTATTTTTGTGTGTCTGAGACATAGTTATTCCTAGGAGAAATAATTCCAAAAGCCAGTGTTTTCCTTTTTATGCTTTGTTCTTCAGGAGATATTTCACATAACTTATTTACAAAAGAAACTGAGGGGCCACATGGTAGTGGGGCAGTCACTAGTAAACACTGATCCTGGTCAAAACAGTTGTAATTAACTTTATCAACAGTTTGGAGGTCTTAGTTCTTCCAAGGAGTCCCTAGGTGGTGCAACCATTTCATGTGCTTAGCTGCTAACTGAAAGGTTGGAGGTTCTGGTCGACCCAGAGATGCCTTGGAAGAAAGGCCTGGTGATCTACTTCCAAGGAATCAGCCATCAGAAACCCTGTGGAGCACAGTTCTACTCTGACACACATGGGGTCACCAGGAGTCAACTCGATGGCAGCTGGTCCGGTCTGATAGTTGCTTCCAAAGTCAAGTCAGCACTTTTCAGACTTTCCCTCATAATAGCCCTGAGGACATAGGTGTGGTGAGGGGCTCTAGAGTCTTCCCCTCGGCTTCCTGTCCTCTCTGTCACAGCCTTGGGGACGTGTGCCTAGTTGGAACTAAGAAGTACGGCCACAAGCCAGCATGGACATGAGATGGTGGGCAGGAGGGGCTGCACGGAGGGTGAAGGCTTACCAGTCACCTGTAGTCAGCGTGGTTTCTAAGACACACTTTTCAGTGCTCTGAAGGCCACTGCTAATGTCCTCACAACCTTTTCAAGGAAGGACTCAGACTATCCAATTATCACTGTAGAGTAAATGTACCACAAGGTATTGATAAACAATGTCTCTTACCAAGAAAAGTCATCTGTGAAATCAATGTTTCATTTCAGGCCGAGGGGGCCCAGGACCTTCCCAGAGAGTGCCAAAATCCGGGCGTCCCAGCTCCTTGGATGGTGATCATCATGACAACTACCACCGAGATGAACCTTTTGGGGGCCCTCCGGGCAGTGGTACCCCTTCTAGAGGGGGCAGGAGTGGCAGTAACTGGGGTAGAGGGAGTAACATGAACTCTGGCCCACCAAGGCGAGGAGCTTCAAGGGGTGGTGGAAGAGGCCGGTAGAAGCTGGGGCTGGACATGTTTAGGCCTTTCTGGACAGTATTTAAGAACTTCTTGTGGACTCATCAAGAGAAACAAAAGGAAGCCTGCACCGTGGTATCCCTGAACTCTTCTGTGGCAACTGAATCCAGGAGTCCCTGATGAGGTCCTCAAGATGAAGAGACTGCTGCTGCTTACCGTAGTAGCTGGCCTTGCTGTCCTGTCCACCCTCATTGCGCTAACCCCTGCATTGTTTTGTGAAGATAAAAGCTGGAATTTTTTTTTTTTTTTTAGTGTCATGAGACATGAAGCACCTCCACAAATTTAGGTTCATGTCTAATTGGAAATTTGTTCCTATATGTACAGTTTGTCAGAGAAAAAAATGTTGTTTTTGTATGAATACAGAATGTGATTTACGCAAGAATTAACGGAAAATAACTAGTTGTGAAGTGCTTACTTCCAGGAAACACTTAGTTTCCATGGAACATTACCTGTTAAGTTGTGCACACCGTTGCTGATATACACGCGCATACTTGATGGGAAACTCTTAAGTCATCTGAATGCATTCTTGCTTTTACACAAGTTCTCACATGGCTATTCTATCACACTGTTTTTATTACAGAATAAGAAACACTTTAAACCTACTCTAAAGTTGTCTGAAGTAGGTTCAAAGCCTCAGACGTGCCCTGGCAGATGGAAAATCCAAGTAGAGGCTTTGTCTTGGGTGAGTCTCCTAGTGACCTCACCTTCGACTTGAACTGCCTTGTTTCTGATGAGAAGAGGAACTTGACTGAAGTCAGCTTTTTGGTGACCATAAAGGCAGAGGGCAGTTCAAACTACAGTAAACCAGGAAGTTCTTGTCCATGACAGATTCCTTCAGTTTTAAATAAATAAATTGTTTTAAATAGATTGGAAGCCAAGTCCAATTTGAGATAACCCATGATATTTTCTGTACTGACCCTTATTTTGTTTTCATAAGAAGAAAACTTTATTAAAAGTACAGTCCCGTAGCCACTTCCAGTTTGTCACTGGACTGGCAAGTTTAGTGGTGCTGGAAGTCTTAATGGCTGCTTAGAAAAGGGACCCTGATATAGCAGTACAATATATAATCACCTCTGAACTGGTTCTCTGTCAGTGTAGAAAATAGTACACACTAACTTATATCTGTGGAAACACTGAGAAAATATCGACCAGACACACTACTTTTTGGGGACATTAGAACTTGGGTGACTTCAAATGAGTAATCTTCATTTTTCTTTGAAATTAAAAAAAGCACCACATAGTAAAAACACTATTAGGAGTCTCGAGTTTGCTTTAGGTTTATGGACTTCATTTGTCCTCCACTGGTACAACTTCAAAAAAAGAAATCATAATCAACTTCTGAGAAGCTAAAAAGGGATCCAGAAACCACACCCATATCTAAATCTTCCTAAGATTCACGTGGTAAGAATTTTATTATCTTAACATTTAGGCTTTAACTTTAAAAACACAGTACCTCAGTAAGCAAACCAGATCATATTTTGAGAACAAATTAAATCAGAAAAAAATAATTATGGATTTATTAAATACTATGGCCATATATATACGTATGTATGTACATATATGGTATTTTAAAACATCAGTGTCAAAATACGTATTTAAGATTGTGCTTTGAATTTTGAATTTTACAATGACTGAATTCTTTAAAAAATGGGAACTTTTAAGTTTGATTTAAAAAAATGTAATAGCAACAACATAAAAATACAATCGTAAGCCATGCAAACCATGACCGTTCTAGAGGAATTACTAGAACGTAAATGTAGCTAAGGGACTAGAAACTGTTCCTTCTTCCCAGCCACCATACAGAGTGTGTCAGTGTTGACGGAGCAGCCAGTGGCACAAGGTTTTACAATTAAAAAAATCACTTGCTGAAACAGTACGTTTGCTCTTACAAGCACCCTCGAGATATGTAGCCCTATTTACGGATACGGGAACAAGAGAACACTAACTCTGTGGGGTGATGTGTATGTGGTCACTTCAGTGTCACTTTCTGGAACAAGGCCCACACACTGACCCCACCTAGGAACCTAAGTGTGGGGTGGATCGCTGCTGGACACATCCTAGTAAGGCAACATGGGAACCCAATCCCAGGAAACATCAGTTATTTTCAGATTATGCAAACCAGTACACAGAAAAATGGTTCTCAACCTTGGCTGAAGATGGACTCACCTGGGGAGCTTTATAAAAATGCTGATGCCTGGTCCTACACCAGAGATTCTGATTTAAATGATCTGAGGTTTGGCAGTCACGATTGAGAACTACTGGCACAGAATTTTAAAACTCTGTATTTTGCTTCCTCGTTGATAAGTTAATACAAAACATGTAGACATTTTCTGGACTCATCAGAATACTTGGCCCATACTTTCTGGCAGTAAATTAAGACACGCAATTAGCTTCTAAAGGGCATTTGGCAATGAGATACGGCAAAACTCCTACTTCCATTATTTGAGATCAGCCTACAAATCGTAAACTGCAATTTAAAAAGCAGATCATTAAATCAGGAATGATAATAAGACCTTGTAGAAATCCATGGCTTCCATCAAATGTGGGAATTCTGGATGTAGAATTAATGCCTGTCTCCAAGGTCTCCCTAGACCAGTTCCGCTCAGAGACCTTAAGCATTCCAAAAGCCACCGTTTACACGCAGCTCACTAGACAGCAAGCTTCTTGGAACACAAAACTTCCCCTTTGGTCCTATTGCTTTGTCTAATACAGAACTAATTTTCCTTTAATGTTATAAAGCACCATATTGACGATGTCCCTAACCAAAGACAAAGCCCAGGTCAACCATCTTAAATAAGTGATTTTTAAAACCCAGTGGCTAAATCTTAAGTGCTTCTGATACCCTTATGTTGTTGTTAGGTGCTGAAGACTCCACAGGGTATTCCAGGCTGTAATCTTCACCGGGCCTTGTGGGTGGGTGCCAACCTTTAGATTAGCAACCAAGCGCTTAACCGTTGAGGTTCCAGGACTCCTTCTGGCACCATAATTTCCAAGCCTTCCCCAAAAAAACAAAACCCAAACCCGCTGCCGTAGAGTTGATCCCGACTCACAGCACCCTACAGCAGAGAAGAAGAGCCCCGTAGGATTTCCAAGGAGCTGCTGGAGGATTTGAACTGCCAACCTTTTGGGTTAGCAGCCTGAGCGTTTAACCACTCCGCCACCAAAAGGCTCCATCCAAGTCTTAAGTATGGCAAAATAAAGGAGGGAGGGGGTAACGAGGCTAATCTAGCTAAACCTTTACAATCGACAAAAGCAAAACGTAAACCAGAGATAAATCGCAAAAACAGCTAGTTAAAACCGAAGAGCCATTTTTTTTTTACTGAGCTCATTTTAAAATCACAGTTAATGCAAAAGCAACTATTTCATGGCATATTATCACCAATTCAATGACAAAATCTCGTGTTTCCAGAGCACTGAACGCTGAAATCGAAGCTTCCCAAAGTGCTCATGTTTCAGTACATAACGGCCGCTCAGTCTGCAGATCGCCGCCGGTCGGCGAGCTTCCGTCGTTCTGCGGCCCGTGGGTGTCCTTGACGCGGGCGTGGTGCTTGGCTGGGCTAAAGGCTCCAAGTCTCTCCCGACCGCTCACACGGGCAGCGCTTTAGCGAAGCCGGTGCCCGGGGCCAGGCGCCCGAGGGCAAGGCGGAGCGCGGTGCCCCCGCCCCAGGGCAACAGGCCGACCAAAATGCCGAGCAGCGCGACCATCTGCACGCAAGCGCCTAGCACCGTGAGCACGGCACTGCGCAGGCCTAGCGCCGCGTACAGCGTGGCGCTCAGCGCGGCGGCGTAGAGCAGCGCCGTGCGTGACGGCGTCTCCTCACCGCGCAGTAGCCGCCCACACGCTGCACCGCCCCGGAGCAGCGCACCGCCTGCTAGGGCCAGCGTTGAGCCCAGCGACCACAGCAGCGCGAATTTCCGGGCGCGCAGCAGCAGTACGGGCGCGTATAGCGCAGCCAGGCCGAAGCAGAGCGCGGCCAGCAACAGGCACACGCCGCTTGCCGCCAGCCGCTGCGTGCGAGTCACACTCGGCAGGCACGCCGCGCCCGCTGCCTCCGGCTCCTCGGGGTTCCGCGCCCACGTCCAGCGCAGGCTCGGGCGACCCAGCCACGCCCCTGCTGTCCCGTTCCCCGCCGCGGGCTCCTCCGCCTCTTCCTCCGCGAGCAGCGGTACCGCGGCCGCTGACCCGCCCGCTTTCGCCTGCGCCAGATACTCCTGCAGCTGGCGGTGGAGGTTTGCCATATTGGGCGGAGCATGGATTTTGCCTCCCACTTCCGTCTCTTCGCGGGTCGCTGGCGGAAGCAGCTCTGTTCTCGGGCGGCTATTGGCCGGCCGGGGCGCGTGCGGCGGAAGGAGCCAGGCGTGCTCTTGCGGAGAAAGTGCCTGGCTGCTGCTTAGGAGACACTGACAGGGTTCTCGTATTTCTCTGCCTAGCTGCTGGCCCTGAGTCGGAATCGACTCGATGGCAATGAGTTTGGTTTTTTTGGTTTAGCTGCTGGCCCGGCTCTTTTTTCCGAGCAGGCGTTGTTACCGTCTGGATACATTTTCTCAGCATTAAAAAGTTAGTTGGGGGGAGGGGCTGCTTGTGGCTATCAAGGCACCTGAGGTCCCACTGTGGTGATGCAAATTAACTTTTAACTATCAGTGTTGTAAAATTTGCTGTCTCCACTTGCATCCCGTTCTTGCCAAGTCCAGAGAAAGTTTCAGACCTTTCCATCCTTACACTTCCAACAGTACTTAACACAGTGCTCACTCCCTCCTTGAAGCCAGCACTTTGCTTCTAGGACAGCACACTGCTGAGTTGCAGTTTTGGTCTGTTTCCTTTGCTTTTCCTCCTCCTCCCCCAGGGCATCTCCACTTTTCTTTCTTGGCATGTATTTCCTCACCATGCGTCCAGCCTCGTGTAGTTAAGTACCATGACTCCTCCGGCAGATCTCCTCTCGTTTTTTCACTTGGATATCTAGTTGGCATCTTGAAAAGTAACACGCAAAACAAAACTCTTGATTCCCAAGTTCTTCTCCCCACCCCCAAAACCTTTTACTCCCCCTTTTTCTTTCCCCATGGAAATAAATCGCACCACCATTCATTCACTGTGTTGCTCGGGCCAAGAACCTTGGAATCGTCCCCGACTCCTTTCTCATGCCCACATCAGCAAGTCCTGCCAGCCATACCCTGGAAATGTATCTAGTACCTGACTATTTCTTCTCACTGTCAACATGTTACCAGGTGGAAACCCCAGGTTCTTGCTCGGCATGACTCATTGGCCGATAAATGAGTGGGAGAACAGGAAAGTCATCTTTATCTCATTGTACAAAGAAGAGTCAGTCGGAGCTGCTTCTGCCAAGACTGTTGCCCAAAGAGTTTAAAGGGAGTTCATACAGGTTACGTCAGAAACATTCGTAGTCATACATACGCAGGTGCAGTGGGGTTTACATATAACCTACAAGCAAAAGCAGGATTCAAATGCAAAGCTGGGAGGAAGCCCAGCGAAGGAAACAGGGTTTTTCAATACAACACTGTGGAGGAAGAAGTCAAGCAAAGAAAACATTTTTCATACAGCCCTCGGGGGGCTCTGTGTCACTTGTTCCATTTCTTTTTGGACATTGGTCATTTAAGACCAGTGTCCATTTTGAACTATAGCCCAGCTCATAATTGTCATATTTTCGAGGAGGGGCAAATATTGGACCTAGGCTTTTCATTGTGGCTACTGACCTTGTTGGTTTATAACTGACCATTTACTAAAAGTTAAAAAGAGTGGCTGTTAGCCTGTTTATATGAATGTCTCCCTAAAAGATTCTTTTTTTTTCTTTAGATTATTTTAGCTATTGTCTTTATACGTCAGGGCCCTGTTGATGTGTCTTTATGAGTCTTTGTTAGTCCAGGTCCAGCTGGGTCACATTCTTTATACTCAAGGACAGGGAACAATGGCCCCAGTATTATCTCCTAAATCTTTTCTTTCCTTTTGATCGGAGATTGGAGATAGTAATCCCTGGACTTAGTTGAGCCCTTAGATGGCGGCCATGGCCGGCTGTTTAAACTCACGGTGCTGGTTTTCCACCAGATACCACCTGATTCTTCACCAGGATCTTAAGTAAGAGCGTCGTTCTCATCAGTTCCCTTGCTGAAGTGAGCAGACTCAGTGTACATCAACATTTTAGCCCAAGGCCTTCTTTTAGGTGTGTAAGACAATAGAAAAATTTTACAATGCCTAATACTAGCAGGATGCAGACTAAGAACATTACTATCCCTTGCAGTAGTGATCTAGCCCGTGTCCTTATTCCTTATGGTAACCAATCAAATAAATCTTGTGTTTGTAAGGGTGTTACAGTGTGTAACCTAGTAGCTTGCTGCCTAATTTCTGTATATCCTGTTCGACTTCTCCTGTGTTATTTGTCCAAATGCAACGAGGCATTTGCTACAGCACAGAATACACTTTTCCTGGGCTAATAAAATCTAAGGCTGTTTTGTTATCTCATGTCACCTTGGCTAATGAGGTCAGAGATTACTGTTGTTTTCGACTCATTAGCAACTTTGTCTGCTATTTGTCCCATAGTGATCGACAAATTTCTTAAAGATTTCTCCAATTCAGCTATACTATAACTAAGAATTAAAGCTGTCAACTATACCCTCAGTGTTGGACCAATGGGTTTCTTTTTGACTCTTCGTTTTACAATGTGTAATAATTTAACATTACCTTTTCAATATTTACTAGCATCATTACTATGAATATCTAAAGGTAATCCAAAAGTTCCCAAAGTACATTGCCCATGCATTCACCAGGAATCTAAACAAGGGCTTGCCCATGTAAATTCACTATCAGTTAGAAAGGATCATCTAAATTAGTATAGTTGGATCCGCCACACAGAAACATATATCCTTAAGGAGCACACAAAAGTTTGTCTAGAGGAAATAGGAAGTATAGGAAAATTCACATGTGACAACCAGATTTTCATTAGCGAATACACGATTAACAATATGGGATGGTCCTCTCCTGTTGGAGGTCTTCAGTTAATCTGTTTAAAACATACTAAGTGTTCTTCTCAAGGGCAAGCTGACCCTCCTTGGTCTACCTGTTAACAGTCATGAGTCACTTTCTCAGAAGCAGAAGTGTCACAAAACTGTTTTTTACAATATCTAAACCCATTAGTTAAATAATTTAGGAGAAAGGAAAATGGTTTCTTATACCAGAAAGTAGGACCTTAAAACATCAGCAATATTCCCACATAAAACCCATAGTATTCCTTTACTCAGTCTTATGTAGTTAATTTCACTTCCACATGATTTTGGATCAGCTGCAGTCAACTCATCATCTACAAAGAGTTTTTGGAAATCTTGATTCAGTATAGTCACAGTTCTTTTCATAAGTCTAATATAGTCCATCCATCTTTTTGTTGAGATAGTTTGGTCAAACATTTTCAGCAAATCAGCAAAGTAAAAACTTATCTGCAGATGACGAATCTTAATGTGACCATGATTAATTTATAAACATAATAATTACTAAAAAATGCAGAACCAAATAAAGTCAGTTTAAAAAAACTTCAGACAAAAATATTTTTAAATATAATGATTAACCTTATTTTTAAAGAGCTCCAGATATAATACACTATATAGTAATTTTGAGACATAATACTATATAGTCAGGATATGCCAAGATTATCAAGTCTCTAAATACCTGAATAGTAATAAAAAGAGTTCATAGGTAAACAATGTGAATGCCCCAGTAAATCCATTGGTTTTGATGCTAGATTCAAAAAATAAAGTTACGGCCAAGTTAGCAATAAAGAAATAATAATAAAATTATGGCATAATATTATGCATTTGCTGTCTAATATTAGGCAAAAACATAAGACGAAATACTAACATAAATTTTGACCCAAAGAGAATCAGGCGTTTCTCTTGATTTTGACTATACATTCCATGTATATTTATTAAAACTTTTTAGCACTTTTCCTTTATAAAAAAATTTTTGTGGCTTTCCATGAAGTTTCAGAGTTGTCAGGAGTTTATTATAGGTCACCGTGAAACAGTACTTCAGTTATTTAACCAAAGATCTTAAAATAAAAACCTTAGTTTTTTTTTTTTTTAAAGCCAAGCGGCTTGGTTTTAGGGTCAGGAATCTTATAAGAGGGCGAACCTCTGCCTTTGAGGGCGATTATGCAAAGAATACATTAACCCTTCAACTAAGAAATCAAAGAAAATTTTGTTATTTTAACAGCAAGAATCCCAATTCTTTGTTTTATATGCTACTTAACATTAAAGCTCTTAAAAATCTCATAAACCATTAAACTTTAGTCAGATAAAATATTTGACCATATTAAAAATTTTTTAATAAACCTCTTAAATGTTGTCTATGTTGCATATCTCTTATAGTGCATCCCTTTTAAAATGGCAAAAATGAACACGCTCATAAGCAGACATATATATATATATTCTTCCTGTTGTGGCATAAATAGCCAAAGTAATGAACTTCAATTATGACGAATATCTATTAAATCAGTATCTGTAAGTTACCTAAAAGGTCTTGGAAGTTATTTCAAGCCTGTATACTATAAAACATAACTGTAGTTGAAATAAAGTCTGTTTAAATATTCTAATTTTCATTTAACTTTTACTATTTCCCATATTTCCCCAATTTACTTTTAGATCTTAAAGATTTTATCAACTGGCTTTGGGAATCACAGAGTCTCTGCTCAACTGACCAATTCGTTGATATGGACACAACCTGAAGTCTCTGGCTAGGATTGGAAACATTTTCCCATGCCATTTCAGGTGTGTCTCATTGTGATTTCTATTTTTTGGCTTGTTAAAGTTCCCCTACAATAGAGAACTTGTTTACAGTTCTTTTATGATTGGGATCTATCCAATTTCTGATAACTATAGTAAGCTTCCTGGAAATACATGACCTTGGAGACTGGGGATGGGGAGGCCTGATGTTTCCCCACTCTCCCTATTTTGACCCAGGGTAGAAGACAAGATTAGGCCATTCCGGTTCATTTACATATGTTTAAATTGACCTAGGCATTTTGAAAGGCTAACTACCTGGTAAATACCAAAGCTCTTCAGCAGTTTTGTAAATGAATCCATCAATTCTTGGCTAGTCTTCCCCACCTTCCTCCCCTTCCCCCTCACCCCAGGCTTGTCCTATGCCTCCTTTTACCCACTCTGAACTACTAGTTTTACTTTAAGACAAAATTATTCTTTTCCCTTAAATAAAACACATTTCATATACTATCTAGCTCAAGTTACTTAGAAAGGTTTTGCTTATAAGATTGACTTAAACATAAA